AAGATCTTAAAATAAACTAAAATAAGATGGTAATATTTTATTTTACCATTTCAAGAAAGTAAATGAGATGCTTAATTTTCTAGTTCATTTTTTATGTATAAATTGCTTGTAATTCTTCAGCTCCCTCCCAGACCCTACCCTGCCCTCAACAAGCCCCGTGCTAAGTCTAATACAAACCTGCATTCCAAAGATACAGGCTATTCTAATTGCACATCGTATTCCTTCCAAACAAAGGGATGCAACTTCTGTGTCATCACAGTTCTGCAAGCCAACGCTGTAAGCTGCCAGCAATGGAGTCCATACAAGCTAAAGAAAGGAAGAAACTAAGTTCAGAAATCTATTACAATTTTAGCCCAAAACACTAGATAACTGAAGCCAAATACATCCAAAGAGTCCACCTGTTGCATTACCTAGCTCTTCAGAGTAATTTTCCATTTTTTTTATGCTTAAAACTCTTAGCAATGAAGAGACAAGGAGAACTTCACACTCACTTTGAACATGGGTCTGACATGATCCAGATGAGTGGCACTAGTAAAAGGAGCCTTTGCGTGGCTTACTGCCTCCATGAGGGCTTTCGCTGTTTTAGCCATCTGTTCCATCTCCAAGTTGTATAACAACCTCCGCTGCTTCTCATTAGCTACACCTAAGGGGAACACCACACAGTCACATTGGTTTCTTTTTTTATAAGAGCATATACCCTGTCTTCACATTGAGCATCACAAAAGGTTAAAATAAAGGTATTGCAAATGAAATAAGGATAAAAATCTTCCAGAATGTTAGAATTCAGGAGGCTGTCATAGGTTGCGTGCAAGGAACTCCAGAAATAAAACCTACACGCCAACTTAAGACTTTGTTCTATACCAAGTAACTAATTCAGGCCTTTACTATATGTTCCATGTTATGACCTAATCTCTGGCAGCCAGAGAAGCATACTCTATTAAGTCACTCTGCCTGTAGAAGTGGATGGAAAATCCTTCATCATCTTAGGCTGACATCCTCAAAACAAAACTAGCCCTAAGCAACTTGATAAATAAATTATAACTCAGTGTTCCTTTATCCTTTTACTAAATGTTGCAACTTCAATTTTCAAGCAAATCAATTTTATTCCTATTTTGATCTAGGAAACCTGCAAACAGCATGGAGAACACTGAGAAAAACACTATGTTGAAGATTCAGAATTCACTAATGTTAATTCAAATTAGTACCAGCTATTCTGAGTAAAAGCAGAATGCAGCTGGGGATACTGGTTTCTAGTGTACACTACACAAATTCCTCATTTGGTCTAGATAAAGAGAAGTGACTGTAGATCATGACAAACTCTCTGATCTCTCTCTTTTTCAAATGCTATCACAAGGACTGTGGCACTTACCAGCCTCTGAACTATGACATGCTACTGATAGGGAGACAAAAAAAAAAAAACCGAACCCAAAACAAAAACCCACCTGTTGTCTACCACATAAAAACAAGAAGTTAACTTGCAAAGTAAGGGCCACTTTCAGTTATTGAACCATTTTCCCCTCACACTTCCATTTTAAGAAAAACCCCAAATCTAGTTTCTAGTGCCCTCTGCCATGGTGCCAGATGCACTTACACAGCTATGCTTCCATCACAGAAGCAGCAGTATCAAGTCATAACTGAGCCAGTTTCATCCCAAATACCTACATTAGCCATTCTAAATGTAATTTATGTATTGCACAAAGATGTTTTCAAAAGGGGATCTGAACTCTACTACACTATCCTGAGAATAACTGCAATAGTTCAAAAGCACTATGGTCTTTCCAGTTTCTAGTTCCTTCTTACTTGGTTTACTAGACTTGGTTGTAATTGCGTATTCTTTTGTCTCTTTCATTGCAATTTTCTTTCCTTCTATTTCTTCATAGATTGTGGATAAATAGTCTACTGGCAGGTCTTTACTGTCATTGATTCCTCGATTCATTTTAATGTATTGCTCCTTTGTCATTTTATTTTTTACCTGTAAAAAAGAATGGAAGTTGGATATCAGATTTTGAATGCAAGTTCCAGGGAAATCTGAACTTCTACATGATTCTATGTTCACTTTTTAAATTTCTACCTGTGGACTGTGGAGGTCTGTAGTCAGCATTATAATAGAGTAAGCCAAAACATAGGCAGTGTCAGCACTAGCAAATAGTGTTTGCCTAAGGGAAGAAAAAAAAACAAAACAGATTTTTAGAGCCTAATTCCTCAAAGAATTAGTTCTATTTCTATATGGAAGAAAAATACCCAGAACTGCTATGCATTCAACCACAGAACCCACAGAGCCTAAAATTAGTCCTTAGAAACACATGAAGCCCCAAGTGTTTTAAAATGCAAATAAAAAGGAAAAAAAAATAAAAGCATCGTCTTCACAATGTTGAAACCAGTGATGACTGGACTTCTAAACTACATTCCCCAAAAATTAGACATTATCCTTCTTTGGGTAATCCTACAAAAGCTAAAGAACAGCTTATATTTTCACTCCCAGAGTTTCACAAAGAACTACACAAAACCAACCCAGTGATGCACCAACTGGACTAAGGAATGGGAACCAATTAAGCCTGATCACCTATCTCAACTTCAACACTAGTTTATTGCATTCGAAACAAAAGCAACACTGCCTCTTTGATGTCCACTTGATGTCAACTAAAATATATACATTTTATTCGACGTCTAATGGGCAAGCAAAAACATGTGCAACATCTTATTAGCTATTTATGCCATGTATTTTTAATTTTAGCAATTGCTATTTCTTATTACTGTTGTTTACACTTGACTGACCTACATTTGTTTAAAAACTGAACAGCTAATATAGAGACAATTTAACATACTTAGGGCTTCCCTCTTCCAATAATTCCTTCTAGCAGGTATTTGGGATTTAATGAAATGCCAGCATCAGTATACTTTCTATCCAAAGTTTCCATTTTGCCTAGCTGCTGAAGAGGGTCAGCACCAGCATTAGCAACAAGATCTGCTCCTTACACACACCTGTAGAAGTTCCTGACCTGGCATGAGTGTGAGTTGCACCTTGCCCCTAAGGGCCACAAACAATACAGCTATTCTTCAGACACTTCTCCAATACAAAGGTTTTGAATTACCGTTGGTTGCATTCAATGTATCTAGCAGCAAACTTCTCCATTAATCTATCGATCTTCTGGGCTTCACCTGGCAGACGAAAACCTTCCAGAAATATACGTAGAGCAGAGACAAAGTCTTTTCCACAGAAATCAAGCTGGTCTACATAGGCATACATCACTTCCTTGTTAAACTTGTTGCTTTCCCCAAGAAATTCCCCTACTTGAGTCTAAAAACACAAGAGACAGTTATTACTGTGTAATCCAACTGCCAGCTTTGCAAGAAAGTTTATAGTACAAGAATTGCACAGCTGTCAGTTTTGTAAGACCGATATGCTTCACTGAGCAGGCAGAGGAACCGTCAGAGAGATGACAAGAAGCCAGTGTCATTAGAAAATGCCTTTAGTCGGCATATTCTTGCTTCCCCAGGGTGAGATCTGCATTGCTGTAGAGCCAAGGAAAGCTGAGCTGTGCCCAGTTCCACATGCAGCGGAGAATGCTTGGCCACTGCAGTACCTGATATTCCTTTGCTGGCAAGATACTGTTAATGCAGATAAAGCACGTGTTCCCCCTCATGAGGAATCCCTTCAGCACCTTATTGCAAACACAGCTACGTTACCAGGACAGCAAGTAAATAGAAAGTAGCATTGAAGTACCTTCATTTAGAACCCTTACACTTTCAGTTCTCTCTTAATGAAATATGAACTAAAGAGAGTGCATACAGACACCAGAAGACAGGGGAGAAGATGATAGAGGCAAGAGTATTATCTTATGCTACATGCAAACTTACAGAACAGAGACGTTCTTCTTGGTGCAAAAATTGTGCAATGTCTTCTGCTGAAGTGCCAAGCATTCCCTGCTCCTGAAGATATTGTATTCCTCTCTTTGGTTTTTTATTAAACCTATTCAGACAAAAACATGGGAAAACTGAGACATACAATCAGAAAATATCACAGCCTATAAAATTTTAGCTGTACAGAGCCCTTCTAAACCAAAAGATTCTGTGCTGTAGTTCTGTGTCTCTTCTTCTAGTTAGAAAAAAGTCAAAGAATGTGCAACAAATGTGTTAACTATATCACACCACAGGCTACATCTCATGAGGTACATTCAGTTGCTGATAAACTTAAAAGTTATTGCTGGAAAACTCACTTAAAAACTGACCCTTTTGAAATATGAAAAACTAGACAGTTTCCATGAGATGCTAAAATAGTTGCTGTTAAAGATCTATTTATAGCATTTACAGACAAAAAGATCTTCAAATTAATTAAAAAGAAGTAAAGCATAGCTGGACAACAATTAAATTCTCCAAAATATTTCAATAAAAGACAACAAATGGTGTAAGAGCTGTAAAACAACATTAAGCCTGCCTGCTCAAATCAATTCTCTCTAGGTATACGCACACTTTCCTCTCTTGTGTGGCTGAACCAGCACAAAGGAAAGTTGTGAAACCACCTTCCACTCCACCCAGATTTTACTGAATTCCTTTTAACTACAATAGCCTCCAGCATTAGCTTTTGACACCACCAGGCAAGAGTCTTCAGCATTAAGATCAATTTGTAAGTGTCTCTGCAGGTTTGACTGGGTAAGAAACAATCTGGTTACAAACATAGTTTATTTTACTAGTGAACTTTTATTTTCCTGTCGTACTGGACTTACAGTTCTATCCCGTGTTCAATTATTTCCTTTTGTTGCTTGATGACTTCAAATTGCTCAGGATCATCTGGGATAGCAGTCTGAGTACCAACAGTTCCAACTCCTGATGACACAGTGGAGTCCAAGGAACTGACACTACTCCGTCTCCCTCCACTTTCAAGGCATTTACCTTCAGCCAATTCCTGTTCAGATGGTTTATATGAACCTATTTATAAACAGGGCGAGACTTAAGTTATCCTGGTTTTTTAGCAGAAATTTGTGAATTGATATTCTTATTTTACCACATATACTTTTCAGCAGTCTACACTAAATGAAGATGCTATACTGATGCAATTCTAAAATAAACCAACAAAAGGCAGAAGAGCAGCAGCAGCAGCTATCAAGAAATTATTACACTTCAATTTAGTAACTGAAATATTTGTTACATCTTGTTCTACATAAGCCAGCTTTTACGATGTAGACAATGGCCTGGCTACAGCTCTTAAACAGAACCTGGTTATTTGAATCAGACCCTTGAAGAGTTGGTTACTGCAACAGCATTAACAATTCTTTGGAAAGTACTTCATTTGTATAAACAAATAGGTATGCAAAAAACTAGCACCCACATAGCTTCTAAATACTGAACAAACACAAGGACAAACTTATTAAGCAAATTAGTCTCTCCGTAAGGAAACAATCTTACCCAAGCTAGTCTGATGATTTGGGTTCACATAAAGGTCTTTGCTCCATTCTACCATACATTTCAAAATAGAAACCAAACATTCAAGTCCTTTTTTCCTCAAGCTTAGTTCCTAAAAAAAAAAAACAAAAAACCACCAAACAAACCACCACAAACCAACAACAAAACAACAAACACAAAACCAAAAAAACCCCAAAAAACAAGAAAACACATTATCAAAAACCCAAACTAATATATGTATATCCACAAGTTTTTAGAATGCATTACATCACACCATTTAGATCTTAGAAAGTCCATCAGTTAGGGGAAAATCTGCCTTTTGACTATTTAGGTTGGATACATGCGGGCCAAAAGCAACCATAACCAGGACTGACACCAAAACACACTCCAGCTGCTTTAAGCAGATGATTTACTGACAGCTGATGAGCACAACCAAGAGGCAAATATACATCAAATCCTAAACACAACCCCTTTGTTGTATGAATGATTATGGCCATCCAGTAAGCCTCTATAGTGTAAGAACTCTCCACAAGCACGACAAGTGTCTCACCACCTTAGCTGTACAGTAAACAGTTATATTCAAAAATCTGAAACAAATGTCTCCTGCCTTTTACTTCCATTTTCTGGTCAAAGGACCACAGGGAAAATAAAAATAATCAAGCAAGCATTGATACAATTCTAATCGAAGGTGTGAGGTGCACTCAGTTCTGAGATGAACACTGGCACCAAGTTCACTTCAGCCCTGAACACCATTAGGCTGAGCTAAAAAAAACAGTGCTATAGGCAAGGCCAACGTTCAAAGTATCTGCTCTTGCTGAAAGCAGTCTATACTCCACTCTCCCTCTAAGGACTGGGAAATTATAATTTTGAAAGTCATTTGAGTAAGGCAGAGGAAGGCTCATTTGGTTCTCTCTCTCATGGCAGCCCAACAAAAGAGCCCAGAACAAGCCTAGTGTCACAATGCAAATATGCAGCAAAATCACCAACTAAATGAATCACACTGCAGCACCCATCTGCCAATTAGCTAACTAACAACTAGTAGGTAACATCAGTAGGTTACAGACAACATGAACCCCTGGAAGCATCAATAACTATGCAGAGATGGCACTATTTATGAAAAAAAGAATACCTTATCTTCAAAGCTGTTTTTCTTACCTGTAAAGGTGTCATTCCCAACTCATGCCCACTTCGTCCCTGCGCGATTTTGGACAAATCATTTACAAGGCGTTCAAATATATTAGCAGCATTTAAATCGCAGTCATAGTTAACATAAATATCCACTACACACTGGGCATCTTGAAAATAAAAGAAAGTGCAAGTATTAGAGTTCAGTGCAACAGCATTTTCAAATTATTCAGCCAGTTGGAGCAGGCAATGGGGATGAATTCAGACACTTAACCCAAGCACTACGGGATCAAATTCAATTTTTCATACTTAAAAATTATATGAAAATTATTTTGAAAACAAATATCACATCTGCTGCCAGAGGAAGTGACTGCTTTTCACAACAATGGAAATACCTGCACAAATTCTAGTTAAAGTCTGAATCACCATCCACTTGTGCTCAAAGGAGCTTGAAGAAGTCTCTAGAATATTCAGGAAGATCTCTTTGAAGAACACCTGCAAAATAAATGAGGTAAAGGACCTGATGATCTGAAACTTACTAGATCCATGTCAAATGTACAAATGCACTTCTATTCAGTAATTTCTCTTGAAGAGTATCACCTCATGCATATTAGAATTTGAATACAGTAATAACACCCTAGTTTAGTAAGCAAACAAAACTAAGACATTAGCATCTACGTTCCAGCTGTCTTTTCATCATTGCAGTATTTTTATTTGAGAACTAGAGCATCATACAAATGATAGATAAAAAGTCTCACCTCAATCTGCATTTTTAAATGGGTCTTAAAATTCGAAAGTAGTGTGAGAAAGATGGCAAGAGAGAGCTCAAAAACATCAGGAACTGAAGAGACTCCATTTTTAGATAATGCTACACAAAGATACTGCTTGATTGCATTGATGAACATTTCATGCGTCCTGAAAACTGGACCAGCATTCTGCAGTACTGAGAGAAGAAGCTGGAGAGACACTATCTTAGAACGCAGTTCATGGGACCTAGAAAAAATTCAACATTAAATATATTTTTATCGTATTTCTGAATACATACTTGCATTCAACATGAGCACTGTAGCATTTCTTCCGTGTCAAGAAGAAAGGACTGCTATTTAATTAATTTCAATGTGGGGAGCAGGAAGGGTGGAAATCAGCCTGCAAGTGATTCTGGAGATCTTCCAGGAGTATTAACTAGGATAACAGATGCAACTCAGCGCTACTAAGAAGCATTCCCCCACTCCCCCATCAAAAGCTTCACAAATACTATAGTCAAGGCCACTTCAACTGACAATGTGCCCATTACAGAAAAAACCCCTCAAGTATTAAATTTTTAATAATTGGAAGCAAGTTTCAATCCTAGATTCATCAACCTAACTGAAACAAGGGCCTGACAGGTGAATTTTTAATACCTGCTTTACTCTACAGCAGCTACTTAACTGTGTCCAAAAGCGACCTGAGGAAGACAGTGTAATAAATACAGTCTCATACTTGGGATCTGGTGGTCCATCACCAAGAGGTTTCATGGAGAGCTTGCACAACGACCTGAACACAAGGAAGGCATCTTTTTGTAGAACATGGGAAAATTTGGCAGCACCTTGATGTCCAGATACATCTGTTTCCTTGAGAGCAAGAAACACAACAGCAGATCCTCAGTGAGACAAAGGAAGATTACACAGGTCCTCTGAGAATTAGCTACAGATTAAAAAAAACAGTACCTTTGGCAAAGTTTAAACTAAAACTAACTACAAGTGATCTGGATTTTTTCACACATTGACCAACTGCTCCCCTCTGCCCCCACCCTGTACTAAAATACAACTAACATAACCCATTTTAGAACAGTTGTTTTCAATATCTAATTAAATTGCAATTGCTGCTTCATTTTCAAACACAAGCTGGACACATACATTAAAGCTTCTGTCCCTTCCCTCCCCAAAATCCCACTGTAGTAGTTGGCATGATAAAAACATTTCTCCTTTCCGAAATATTCGTTAGCATCCAGTGAAGTTATTTACCAGATTATCAGTGGAGGAAACAGATTGCCCATCATCTGGAATCCCATTTGTTTGTACATTTTCATTACTAGAGCTGGAAAGAGCAATATCTGCAGTCTCTAATACAGGTAGAGCCTTAACTGCTTCTGTTACCTGCTTTTCTTCAGCCACTAAAGGGGAAAAAGGAAAACCGATTACATTCATCCACTGAGCTTTTTTATCCTATGACTTTGTGAAGGTCTACAACCAAGTAGGACAGAAACTAGAAAGTTTCTCAGCTACCAGCAAAAGAAGAATATTGTTTGACAAAAAACTGTTCTTACTGCCTTAGTAGGTGTTCTTGACAAGATACTTAGTAACAAAAATAATTTCCATGATTTTACAATCACAGGAATAAAAGTTTGGCAATATGCACCCATCTATTTAACTTCAGAAGAGTCTGCTACCTTTCATAGCTGACTTGACCACATCTTCCAAGATGCCTTTAACCATCTCCTTTTCTCCATCAGTTGTTTCTTCTAATGAAACACACAGAAAGATAATTTTGAATTTAGTACTTTTGTTTAGGAGGAAGATTAAAAGGAGAAACATGACAGAGGCAGAAGGATTGAAAAATATAGATTTTCTTTAGTAATTCTCCTCTAAAGCCATTTCCAACAAGTCATACAAAAATACTCATTGATGTTATTTCCATTGTTTAAATCAAAGCACCGATATCTTAATGCAGTGATTTTGTCATTTATATTTATCAACTGTTACAAACTTTTAGTTTTGCAATATCCTATGTTCGTAACTTGGATACAGTATATGCTTATGACAAGGTGTTAATAATACACATTACTTTTACAACATGTCTTTTATTATCTCAAGGTGATTCTGTCACTTCTCACGTACCATAATTATTCTCTTCCTTTCCTTCCCCTTTATCAATTTATTCAAGTCAAGAGCCTTTCTTCAAAAGTTACAATGTTGTAGATATGAGCTAAGGATAGCCTGTATACTCTGAATAACTACTGAGAAAATCCAAGCAGGATGTGAGCTAATAACCCCAGCCTCTTCTCCCTAAAATAGCCTAAAAGAGCATTTTCCGATAGAAATAGTGTAATTGAAAGCACTAGACACAACCTATTCTTGTTCACCTGATGCTGAAAGAGTCAGATCCTGTTCCAGCTTCATGTCTCCATCTTCTGCCCTCTCAGGCTCACCGTTGGTTAATTCCACGCTTACAGAAGTGGTGGGTTTGCCTTCCTGACAGCTGTGCTTTGACTGACCAATCTTTGGAGACTTGGGCACCACTTGAATTGCAGGAGACTGGGATTTTTGATGATTTGTTTTTTCTACTTCTCTGGATTCTTGTATCTTAAAAAATGAATATGAAAAAGTTAATCCAAGGCACAAAACATGATAAGGGAAAACAGATGGCTATGATGACTGATGTTCCTTTGTGAATTCACACGCTAACAAGAAACAGTGAAAATACAGTCACTTGGCCAGTCAAATTAAAAAGATGCGCTTCAAGCTTATTTTAAAAGCATCCCATCACTTGTTTATACAAAGCCATTTGGCAGAAACTACAGTGTGAAACCCTGTTATCACCAATAAGCTTCATATTTTATTTTTAATCAGTCAGTATGCTTCACTGCAGGATTTGACAGTTTTTTAAAATTACAAATCAACAGATATCCAATTACAAAGACAGACCCACTAAAAATAACAATAATAAAAAAGTTTTCTATTCATTTGTTAAGCATAAACATTTGAGATGAGCAAAAGTAATAGTTACATACAGCTTGATTTTCCATCCGTGTAAAAATGACATTTAACATCTGCGTGAGGGTAGCTTTGGCGGTTGTCTGATTAATAAGATTTTTACTGGCCAGATAAATGTTGTAACAGGTTCTAACAGTCTGAAGAATTGTTCCTTCATGAATTTCTATATACGGAGACGTTACTGCAGTGAGGAGAGCCTGAAAAAGTCCATAACACAGTAAAAATGAAATCTAAGCAAGTAGGCAGCACTGCAGTTCATGCAGGTCTTCCATAATATCAGCTGGATTGTTATGAAACACATGTATCTGTTTATATAAGACTTTATAAGGAACTTCTAGTTCTCTGAAACAACATTTCAAATCAAGGAAAGTTTAACAGAACTTCCACATAACTCTCTTCTCTCCTGAGCTGTTAAAAACATTTTATCACAACTAGTTTTCCACTGAGGGAGATGCTCCGCGTCCAAATGAAACAGTTGTCATTATATTCCACAGCTTCATCTCTGTGAGAGGGCCAGCTGGTCTACCCTGCCACCCAGATTGATAGAAGGTTCACCAACTTCCACCCTCAGCTATGTTAGCCCAAGGAGATTTCAGAACCATAACACACAACATTGGTACTACTATGCCTTGTTGAGAACATGTACTGCAGATGTCCCTGGAAAACGGACATAAAAGCAGACAGGACAGAGCCGCAAGCCATGACACTGCATCACAGCTGCAGTGCATTTATAAAGTATTCCTTACGTTCTGCTTCACCAAGAGGAAATACATTTCGCACACATATTCTGTGCTGGTTACAGTCTCCCTAAATTCAATGACACATCTAACAGTGTAAGAAATTGAGAACTTGGGCCCTAAGTAGTGCTTTGCATTAAATTTTTTTCAGTTACAAAATCAAAGACAGAGAATGTAAATTAATATTGCACCAAAATGAAGCAGATAAAATACCTTAATTATCTGCAGTTGTACTCCTTCATCTGTTTGAGGACCTTGAAAGCAATTGCAAATGGTTTCAACTATTCGGTCAATCAGTCGTTTTCCAGGAGCTCCACTGTCTGGAGCATTGCCAGTGATATGTCCATATGCAATGAGTTTCTAGGTAGAAAAAATGCAGTTAGACAACCATATACTGTTAAGTAAAACACAGTTAAGTACAGTATAAGAAAGGGGTTTTAGACAGCATACCTCACTTAACCAGTTTTAACAGAAAAATTTAACACTATCAACAGTCTGGCTACCAAATACTTGGACTGTTCAAACATCCAGACAGATTTCGTAAGTGATAACACAAGCTTTTTCCACCCAGACCACTTTTTCCTCCCATAATCAGACAATTTTTTTTTAACGTCAATCCCTGTACCTATTCACAACAGAAAGGATCTGCCCTTAAGTTGCACTTGTATTTTTCTGTAAGAATCTAAGGAGGAACAAGGCAGAAAGATTCCAGAGTGCACATCAGCACTACGAGAAACACCATATGCCTTTGAGAGCACCACAGGTGAAACATCTTTACTGAATAATAAAAGCATTCACCAGCTGGAATAAAGGCTTCTTTCACTCTAAAACAACACACACACACACATTTCTGACTTTGACAAGATGCACTTTCAGCCAAGGCTGATAATAACCTGTTTCGCATGGTTTATGCATGTAGGTAACCACAGGGGATACCTGCACAGCTGTATGTTCTCAGGACAGAACTACCACTTCACTGCCAACAGCACACAAGATATTTGTAACCGCGCATTTCTCCATTTCACTCTGTCCAAGTTTAAACACAACCCTTACCTGTAAACAATCCAGTGAAGTACTGACAATGCGTGGAGACTTTGACTGGCAGGCTAGTTCAAACGGAAGGAAATATTTATCTGCTTCAATGAAGTTTGCTTTTGGTGGAGCAGCAGTGCCTTCTCTAGGTCAGACAAGAAGAATTATTAATTTTTCTGAACACGTATATCACAGCAAACTACACTTCCTCCTTTTCTAAATTTAAAGCTGAATGGTACATAGCAGCATACAAATGTCATGCAAGTTTCTCTCACACATACTTTCTTAAAGTTCAATTTTCTTTAAAAATCACACAAAACCACTTTATTTATATTGCATCTGATCTTTTTCACATATTCTTTAACTTAACTCTTCCCTCACTACACTCCAGCACTGTCCCACTACCTGAGTACTGGGGAGCTCCCACACAACTTAATGATAATTCTAACAAAGTTATTCTGAATTAAGTAAACAGGGCCCAGATGAGGAACACTACGCAAAGAGAAGGGGGCTCATTTTAAATCATAGCACAGGGCTGGAAAAATGTTTTAAAATCTGGATTTAAGTAATATTTAAATTGTCATTCTTGATCTAGGTAGTTACCAAACAGAGGATACCTACTGCTCTTTATGATCTCCCATCAGGCTATATTAAGCCCAGTAAAAGGAAGTGAAAAACTAGCACCCTTTACAAGTTTCACAATTTTTTCATAGTGAAATTCAGAGGCAGTTATGACTTCAGTACCCACAGCCACAAACATTGTACAATTGCAAAACACGGGCCGTATCACAGTTTTGGCAGAAAGGTGTGTAACTGGGTATTCACAAACTCATTGCTGTAATGAACATACACGCTTACATTTCCACTATCAAATTATTCCCTTGCTGTTTTCTGGCACAGTTTACAGCAATTAATAATTTACCTTTGCTTTTCCAGCTCTGTTTTTATTTCATCTGAAAGAAAGAAAGAAAAAAAGCATTTAACACCCAATGTAAGTTATCATTATCAATAACACAAATAAGGAAAATGCAATCAAGCAAAGCTGTTTCAAACCAGAAGTCGTACACTTGGGTATTTGCTATTCCTCTCCCGTAACACCTTCACCTTCAGAGATCGTAGACAGTCACCCCATTTAATGAAAGGCATCTCTCTCAACTTCTACATGAGAAAGCTAATTTTTCCAAACATTCTTAACAAAAGATAACTTTAGAAAACACAGGTATAGTATACAATTCTTATTCCAGAATAAGTCTACATCATAGAGAGCTCAGGTCTGCAGAAGTCTTTAAGCCACTGCGTAAACCATTAGTTCAAAGCATCTGACCTTCCTGTTAACTACAATGCTAGTTACCCTGCTTTTGTTAAACCTCCCAATACGACATCAGCTGAACAAACAAAGTCCAAAAGATAAGAAATCTCAAATGCATGCTGTCATGTTGCCAGCAGAGCCTTTTTTAAATTACACTTTTAAGGAACTTTTAATAAAATCAAATTAAATGCAGAAAAAAAAAGTTTATTTCTCATTTCTTTTGTATACAGCAGCAAATCCCAAAGATCCAGTATGGCTTTCTGAGGATTTCTAACATTTCGCCGTGATGCACAACACAGACCAGAACTGCACTACACTAGACACAGTACAGGTGCGTACGTGAACACCGACAGAAAATATGAAAAGCAGCACACAGAGCAAGGCTGCACAGCTACAGCCGCTTGTAACACCCTGTGGAATCCTGTCCGTCCCACTCTGCCTCATGTGCCTGCAAATTATCATGCCTACACGTCTTGTTTCAATTACAAAGTTACAGGAAACAGATCATTAACTCAAACCCTGTTCTCTACAACGCTGCAGAGGCACCACTCTTTGGGATCAGGTGCTCAGAGTTCACATGATTTCAGTCCTGTCTGTGAACCTCAATAATTTCTACTGTCTCAGAAGCATCAATACACAAAACATACTAATGAACAAGGGCTGCAACAAACACACGACAGGTTTTTGCACAGCCCTATCATTCAGTGAACACTACAAGAACTAATCCTTGCGTATTATGCCTATTTTGGAACATTACTACCCCTATTTTATAGAGAAAATGCAAGCAAAATGCAGAGGAAGCCTGTATAACTACAAGCTGAGAGTGATAAACTGCATCCAGGACGGGGACTTGCTCTTGCTGCCTCACTCTCTCATCACCGAACACCAACAGTCAGCAGTCAAGAAGGAAGCAGCATGCCATCCCCCAGCAATACGTGATGGAAGAACTGAATGTTGACTACAGGGTGGGTAACGCTCGAAGGAACAGACAACAGGAAAACCGAAGAGTCACAGGCCCGCAATGAGTCATGGCTCTCTGTTCAGAGCCCATCATTTTCTAATCAAGTTTATCATGCAAACAACCATGCCCGGCAGTTTTAAAGGTGAGGCAAACTTCACTTGCCAATATTGCACAAGCCAGTGGCAAGGCAACGAGCCGAGCCAAGTTCATAGCCCCAGTGCCCGGGATTTCAGAATGAGAGGTAACTTGGCAGCTCTGTGACAGTGCAAACTCAGTGTTGTCATCCCCTAATACTTCAGGCTTCAGCTGGTAAAAACAGTCAACAGAATGGAGACCTCTGAAGAGAAATAACCAGGGTTTCCCATGCCAAACAGACAGACAACAGAAACCTTACCACAGCACCACTTCTCGGATCATTGTTTCCTTCATTCCAGAATCCAGTTGGTTTATCAACAAGATGTCAAGCCAGAAGTTCAATTCAGCGAAATTTAAATTCAGTCCCCTTGACTTTATTAATTTCCCCATCTTTAACACCACATTATGATCCACAGAGCTACTGAGAACAACGCACACTAAAGGACCCACCAATTCATTGTGTTCCTACTTAGATCTGTCTTATTGGAGCAGTGTACTCCTCTCACCTCCAGGAACTGGCTGCTTAAAACACAGAGTTTTCTGGGTAGCTTTACATGTTCAGAACGCTTAGTCCTGCCTCCAGGTCCTGGCAGAGAGAAGCATGTTTTATCTACGCCAGAATCCCAAGCGCAGCAGGATGCCAGGGTGGTCAGCTACGCCACTGTTAGCGCTGTGTTCCAGAAACCTTGCAGAACTAGCGCTCACAGGGGTTTTTTAATCGTTGCAAAAACTCAACGTCCCCTGAACTAAGTTCATTTTTCCAAAGCAGAAAGACTGACCAAGTTAGCCCAATGGTCCTCTTTGCACTAAAATTGGTGATTTGTCTAGCTTAGAAATAAAAGCCTTCCTTGATTTGATAATGTTTTGGTCAAAAGGTGTCGTTGTTAGGACACATTATTCTCAGGTACAGAAGTCCTCACTTCCACATTTAGGCTGTAACCAAGTAATGCTATTTTTTCCCCAAATCTCCACGTCCTACTGAAATAATTTCTCTTTCTTTCAAAGAGATCTCTTTCCTCTCACACTGTTTACTAGCAAAGAGCACAGCAAAAAGAAATTCGAACCAAGACTTCATAAAGATTTTACCTTTAAGGAGACATGATCACGCCCATTTTTACTTATACTAGATCTTGCACTGGAAAAAATATGTAAGAACAGTGTCCCATCTTAGAGCAACAATTTCCCTTTCAGAAATACTCCATAAATTTAAAAAGAAAAAAAAAAATCTAACCAAGGCCTGACCAAGTTCCCCACAATTTTATTATATAAAGGTTTTTTCTAAAGCCATATGAAAACATCTGCACCACAAGAGTATTTTAATAAATAATGCTGGCAGAAAAGAATAAATGAAAGGACAAAAGTAAATTACAGGCATGCCTCTGCTACTGATTGCATCAAAATAGTTTAGAAATCGCCACATTTGGAGCACTCATTTGGTGGTCTGACCACCAAAAGTGAGTGAAACAGAAATTGTTGCCTAATGGAAGCCTGTTGCCAAGCCCTGAGCAGGCACAGCCAGCCTCCAGAAACCTACCCCCACTGCCACCCTCCTCTTCCAGCCACAGAATCAAGGGGCACAGCTCAGTCCTCTCCCACAGCTACAGAACATAGTCTGAATTTCGGTCAACAGCTGGTCATCACAGGACGACACTGACCCCTCAACTTGGTGCTTTTGGTACTGGAGCTCCCTGCTACTTCCAAGGCCGAATGCACTGCACCTCCTTCACTCGGAAACACCTCCAGCTGTGGGCACTGTGTGCGCTGCCCGCTCAGCGCAAGGCTTTTAGCATCCCTACCAGGCAACACATCTGGAATAACAAGCAAGGCCTTACAGCAACTTCTTCCAGAGCTTCTGGCCATAATAAAAGCAGCATGAAGTTTAAGCTGAGCTGTATTAGATGGATGCTTTGAGTTTGCCTGCATTGAAAACTATACATTAAAATGGAGGAAATAATCACCTGCCTGCAATTAGATGCATCCTATGGTAATGTACACTCAAGTTTGTCTCAATGGAAGCAACCTAGTTCCTGTGCAGAAAATGGCATAGCTTGTGTTAGCACAAGGACACCAGGAATGTCTTTCCATAGCTTGTCCGAACACCAGACAGCAGTGTCGACACAAACACACGGAGCCGCAGCAAACGCTTCCCTCCCCCAGCCTGATAAAGCCTAATTCCAGGCTGCCTTAAATAAAAAAAGAACCCAACACTCCACATTTATTGATTCTATCAATCTATAGAGAACCCTTTAGAAAAGGCCGCCACAGTGAAGCAGGACTATCTCCTCTTTGCCCCAGTGTTATCAAAACATGCTAGCCAAAAGGCTACTGAACTGAGACACAGACTCGTGTTAGACATCTGTCACTTATACTCAGAGACTTCTCAAACACAGCTAGATTCCTAAGTGAAGGCAGGCTTTAAGAGGGTTTTTAAAAACTCATTAACAAGCTAACTAAACAAATCTGTTGTTTACAAAGCTCCAAGATAGTATGCGGAGGTGCTTAGGCAATCAAAGGTCAGGTAGCCAGGCTGGCTGCGCAGTACGTCATTAAACACAGCCCTGATGGGGCAAGAGTAATGGTCGGTATGAGACCCCCAAGCGCACATTTAGCATTAGACCAACGTGAACTGCTGTGATACATACTGCCTGTGTTCCACTGACTTTTCAGGATAGAAATTATTTCAGTAGATTTACTAAGAACCATGTGTACCTAGAGATCCACGTAAATGCTTATTAAGCGACTATTTATATACAATACACTGGCTGTCTGTTGAAAACCAGTTTTCTTAAAACCACAGTTTTCTAAACCAGAGCAGAACAGCTTCTCTGTTTAAAAACTCAATTTTTCGCCAGTGTCTCCTGGGGCTTACTGGCACTAAGAGTACAGGATACAACCGTTACACCTACCGATGAAGCAAGAGATTGGATGAAGGAATCTATTCAAACTCCGCTTACTCAACCTTAACAGTGTGTATTTCAAAGGAGGTGTGGACAGAGAAAAAAAGAACTCAACCAAAAATCCACCACTGCCAACTGGTTTTGTTCTTTTTCTTCCACCCTTCTTGTGTCTACATCCTATTTGAGACTATGACACTTCCCATTTTACAAAGTCACGAAGATATTTTGCAGTCCAAAATCACACAGTACTAGTGCATGAAAGGTATATCACTGGGAAAGGAAGAGAAAAAAGGTAAGAACAGTTTAAAATTAGAATGAAAGAACATAAGAACGACAGCAATTTTGAGTAGCAATTTACTCAAATTCTCAGGAGTTGAACACATTGAAAATAATAAAGAACTCATGTAAAAGAAAACAAGAGCATCATTCCCACAGCTAGAAATACATTCCTCTGTCTCACCAAACAAAGTTTAAAGCATATGTAATTAACAGAAACACTACTGCAGCAACACTACAGCAGGATTTGTAGAAACAGTTGTAAGATAATTTGCATTTGGTACTTTTAGAGTACACCCGTTCCTCTCTGTTTAGAAAAAGGATGCATCATAGACTTCCCTAGTACCAAGAGCAAACACCATTTACA